AAGAGTTGGCAATAATAATGTTAATATGACAATAATAATAATATAATAATGATGCATTGCACATGTTCAACAGCAAGTCTCACTACACACATTACACTGAAGTCACTATTCCTTCACCCTGTACAGAGTGCTGGTAAATCACAACTGTAGCCACAGTTGTCCTGGGGCTGACTGACGGCAGAAGGGCTGCCAGTCCATGCCATTGGCCACGCCGACCACCACCATCATTCGCTCACTCACTACATCGTCTCTCTTTGGGTGGTGGGGGGAACTGGAGCGCCCAGAGGAAAGCCTCCCAGACAGGGAGAGAAAAATGCAAAAGACCCCACACTCAGCCTTTGTGCTCTGTAAAGTAAATTAAATAAAATGTTTAATTAAAAAAATAATGAAAAACAACAATAATCAACAAAGTTTCATCCCTTGTGAAACAAGGGATTATTCCTGCATAAAAATAAAAACAATAGATACTGCTGCTTTTCCTTCATAATAATGTGTGCTTGCCTAGGCTTCAAACTACATATTTCCAGCTCACAAAGCTGACACTCTCTTTTATAAACTTCAACTTATTTGCATTACAAAACACAATAGCTGTTATATAAATTCCTATCATACATTTTTATGAAGTTTCTTTCTGAACTTTTTCCACACTGGAAATCTCAACTGTTCACTCGGCTATATCAAGCACCATCTATCTCCTTCTCTATGTGAGACCCTCAGCAAATACCACGGCTAACTGGCTTTTCCCAAAGCACTCTGAATAGCAAAAGGACCATAGCAGCCCCTATACTCAGTGGAATATATTATTTTTCTCTTTTTGAATTGACGTATGACATTTCGGGACAAAAAGCAAGTTGTGAGCTTGCACAAAGAGGACACACTGTCTTATTCAAACGCTGAAATGTGAAGAAGTCAGAGTCCATCTTGAAGTATGCTGGCAGAGGTCCTTGATCACTTCCTAGTTATGAACAATCCGGTCTTTGACGGACATCCATGGCAGTACAGGGGTATTGTGGTGCTGTGGACACGTGCCCTTTGATTGATGGCGGCTGCTTGAGGATTCCTGAGTGTAGGTTTGATTACCGAAGAGGAGAGGGCAATGCATTCACAACTAACCAGGCCGCCTCACCCACGAGACAGCTCAGTTTCATTCAGAATAATAGAGCAGCAGGCTGGGTGTGTGGCGCTTAAAGGGAACCTGTGAAATGCTGACCTATAGAAAGACGGTGTACTCTGAGTGATTTGTCTGTTGGTGAAAGTTGCGTCTGACTGTGTACCTTTTAAAAGTTTCTTTGTTAACCTTCTTCAAGGTTACCTACAGATGGCAAAAGGCTATTGCAAATATATATTTTATAATTTTCAAAATCATATTGTTTGTTTAGGGACTGAGTTTAACAAGTTCTGCAAATAATAAGCCTGGTTCAGGAAAATCTGTATATTTCCCATTTATTTGCCAACATTGGGATTAGCTTAGTGGTCACTAATGTCCTTATCGTAATGTGTTATAAATTATTATTCTTAGTGTCAAATGAAATCAAATAATTAATGAGAAAAACATACAGAGATATTGCAAAATATTAGTCTGTAAACTTCCTTTTGAACACTTTGCATGAAAGTATAGTCCTTTTAAGTTTTCCAACTCAGAATGTATGCTTACTGTTTGCTCATGGTTGAGGTTTGAGTGCCCTTTTATCATCTTTCAACTTCCCGCTGGCTCATGTTTCCATCCCTAGATCCTTTCAGGCTTGTTCCGGACCATGATTGTACATTCTTGTCTGCCTGCATCCAGAAGGGCAGTGTGATAACAGTTCTGCTGTTGAGATGAGATTTGAAAGAGAAAATAGTTCCCATGCACAACTCTGTCATATGTTAACAGTGAGACATCTGAGCACAAAGCCAAAGTAGATGCTCATTATCTGGGCAATTCTGCGGCACAAAATTACCCATGATCACACTCCACATGTTGCTTCCAATGTCTTTGTTCCGCCTTCAGTGCTTTGTGGGTCATCATTGTGCAACATGTGGTGGACATTAGGCAGAATTTGGCCTGCTTGTTGTTTTTAGATAAAATGCTTCAAGATATTAAGGCCTTTGATCCAGGACGTTCACCTGAGCTAAGTGAGCAGGCTAATACACAGCCCTCTCTGTCTTCGGGTCCATGTTAATTGCGGCAGTGTGACTGGCGGCTAATGGCTTGTGGCTGACTGGGCTTACTTCATGAATGGAAGTTTTTAAACTCTTTTTGCTTGGTGCTCCACATGACAGAGTACTTTAAATTGAACATAGACTACTCCACTTACTGAGTGTATATGCCCTAAATGGGACATTATAGTGCCAAACCTCCCCTTCTCACATGCCCACTCAAAGCATTTATGCATGCACATTTCACAGCACACACCCACTGTTATATTTTTGACATATAATTGTAGTTGTGTGCTGTGACATGATTCGTTTAAGATTCAAGAATTTATTTGCCAATTAAAGTAAAACCACATTGAAAAACCGCCGTGCTTGACTATCCCAGTGTGCACCAGAAGATGGCACACACCAGAGCCCTTGAAAGGGCGCCGAATTTCTGGCGCCATTCGAGCAAAACATTAGTGCTGTCCAACAGTTATTTTTTTTATCGCGATTAATCAAATGACTGTCATAGTTAACCCGGTTCCTGTTTTTTCTGTTTCTGTCGTTTTTCTAACGCTAGTTAGAAGTAAAAGTTGGTCACACAAATTAATTTTGAGATATAAAAAAATGACGGAGTTAATATTGATTTTTGTTGACGCGTTAAAAACGTGATATTTTGGACAGCACCACAACCCATACATGGATTTAACACAGACATTGTTAGTTTCACACTGGCGTTTTGGCTGACATAAATTTCAATGTTGGAGGTCAAGACTCAGATTGAGATTTAATGTTGATTATCCATTATATTGATCCAATGGTGTTATCCATGGGTTTCAAAAGTTGAATTAAATTAAAGGCTAGTTCTGAATGAGAGAAAAGTCCTCAGGGATATCGTAGATGCTAGCTAGATGCTGTAGCAGATAAAAGCAGGTTTTTAACCAATTACTCTTTCATGAGTTATTTGCTTTTGGAATTCGTAATTTGTAATTCATTGTTTGTTTTCCTTTTGTAAAGCTTATGTTGAAGGGAAAATCTATAATTTTGGGAAGCACTGTGGTGCTGCTGCCAATGACAATGGTCATAAAAAAAACAAATGGCCAACTCAAAACAACATTCTAAGTATTCTGAGTATTCTGTTTTAAGATGTGCAGGCTCCCAGCTCTCTCCTGCTGCAGCCTCTGTATTTCACGTGCCATAACTATAGATGGCACTGTGCATCAATCTGAATCCCACGCTCGGCCAGTCACTGTGACACTTCCAGATCATTTCCTCGGACGTGCCCCTGCTACAGCCCCCGAAACCCCCCCCCCCCACTACTCCCACTGCTCCACATAAACAGACGTACACCTCCCTGAAGACTATCTATCAGCGAAACAACAGCAATTCTGTATTCTGGGATTTTTGCACAAGTCTGTAATGGCAAGTAAAGTCTATCAGTTCAGTTTAATCCTATCTTTATGTTATGTCTGAGGTTACATATTGTGTCATCTGATAACTGCGGAGCGGAGGAGGCATGGGTGGGTTAGGTTACGGTCGGTCAAGGCTGCAGTTGAATGGCAGTTCTTTGCGAGGAGGACATGCACTGCTTTGAACGGATTTGCTCAACAAGACAACCACGTTTCAATGCCTTTTGTAAGTCATTTTCACTTCAATTTGTTGCCTCTCCATCTCTCTATCCAGACTGTGTGGTGTCTCATGATGGCGCATGGAAAGTTTTGGCAAGGAGTGAAGGATTAAAGTCTGTACCGCAAAGTTGCTTGGAAGATGGTTTGGTTTCGGGGATTGCTATTTAGTCTAGTGTCTTTGCCGAATCTCCTGCAAGTCTAAGCAGTTCTCATGCCAGGGCTTATAGAGATTTATAGGGACATTCTATTCCACTGAAAAGGTGCGAGCTTGCATTTGTGTAAATATTTTTTTGAATAAAGCAAACGGTTTCAGCCATATGCAAAGCTATCGGAAATGTAGCTTCTTAATTAAAGTTGATATACTTGGCTGGAGTTATGGTGACTAATTCACTTAATTTGCTTAATTCCCCTAAAAAAGAAATACATTAAGAATATTGTCTTATATTTTCAACCATAAGTTTAATCTTAATATGCATACACCAATCCCTTATGTTGAACAGGGACAAAATTAAATTGCTGAGGTACAATGGTTCAGGAGGTTTTATGTTCTCTCTAGAAATTGTGTTGGTATGTTGTTGCTAAGGCTTTTTTGGCAAATCACCAATGGAGATTTAAACACTTGCTGGAAGTTTTCACTAGGACAAGTTCATGGAAGGAGTGAGTAAGCAATCTTACGGAGCTGTGGGACGATCTAATTTGGTCTCATTCTGCGCAGCCAGCTCACCCCGTCTCCACTTTGAAGACAAACGAGTCCTCGTGGATTTGTGCGTTGTCCTAGATACATCATGTGCCCTTTTTCAAGACATGTGTATCTCTATCGTATACTCACATCCACCTTGTGATAAGAACGTGTGCTTTAACATAGTAGAAAACACTCTTTGTATAGACTTATATGGCAGTTTAAGCTCTTTTAAAAGTTCGCTTAAAGGCTAATTGCTGTAGTTTCCTGCCTGTAGTTTACATTCCCGGCACTGGCTCGCACTGTTCTGCCGCTCCCGCCGCGCCGACAACGTTCTAGGGCTCGTCAGCCAGAGCCAAGCTGCGATGAGAGCAGGGAGAGAGGGGAGAGGGAGTGAGAGAGTGCAGCCAAGCTTGTCCAACTAAAGACACCAGCCCTATCATCTCTCCCATCCCATCTGGAAGACGTTAATACGCTGGCAACTCTTCTCAACCCTCGTTTGCTGTGCCGTAGTTACGCTCATGTGTTCTTATCTTCTTTTTGCTGAGATTTATTTCCCATTTGGTTCGTGGCAGGTCTGCTCAGGAAGCCTAAATATGTGGAGAGCCCTCGAGTTCCGTCCGATGCCATCGTTTCATCGCTGAGGAAAGCGGACACTTCCCACAATGGTGAGTTTCAGTTTTCACTCATATTTACCATCTGGCTTCTTCCTAATATCTTTCATTCTTTCTTTGTCACTTAAAACATTTGTGGATAAATGGCAGGTGACATCATGGTAGCCCTAAATACATTTCATAGATGTGCATGTATAACTTTGAGATTAGATTATATATTTGTTGCATAGTGAATTAATCGGCTGTTCTCAACAATAGTCTTTAAAAGTTTATTATGTATTAGATAATAGATTCTTTATACCAAACAAGTATTGGACATTTTTTACCCGCTTGTAACATGTAACAAGTTCCCATTTTTGCACCACTTGTCCCTTTAAAAACTAGCAGCTAAGTCCGACATGGCACCCCCCCTTTTTGCAAACACACAATATTGCAGTGTTTATTTGAAAGCGCGTGTTTGGATTACAGAGGAGCCAGTGTTCCTCCATGTGGATGTATTGTCTAAACCCAAGGAACAGCAGCTCGTTTCAGTGGAATGCAATGGGAATTCCTATAAAACTCCATCATGGGACCTGGTTGGTAATTGCAATATATTTTGGTGCCTTGTTTTGTTGCATAAAGGAAAACTTAGAGACTTTTCCCCCATACTGACTTTAATGTTATCTGCAGTATGGCAAGTTGGCTATTATTGTGCTGTTGTGTTGACTGTTACATAGCTGTCCAGGAGGGTGTGTCTCGGAGAAGATAGGAGCCACATGAATGCCGTGACAGCTGTTGCATGGGCATTTTAGTAAGCAAATGTTAAAAGCCTTATTTTAAGAACTCTGATGATTGGATGAATGACTATATCAAGCTTGGAGACTTCATAAGACATTCATTCTACCATAACTTGCATTGTTGTGAATGTGAAACTTTAGTTATGCTAAAATTGATTTGTAACGGTTTCTATTGGGGGTTCCGTCCCTTTTTATCTTTGTCTGAAATATTTAGTTTCTCGGTTTGGCAATGTTCATCTTGTTTTGAGATGGTTTACAAGCAGGTGGTAGACTCTCATTCAGAATAGTCACAAAACACATCTTTTGGTCATACATTTTCATCACCTGTGATATCAGCAACACATTATTTTTCTTGAACATTCCCACCAAGGTCGGTAATGATGAATTTAAATGTAATCTAAAATATGCTTTGAAATGGGGAGGTCCTCCTGTTCGGAAAAAAAGTGAAATCCATCATTATATCCCATTTTTCAGGGCAATATAATGAGTACTCAGCTGAAAGATTCCACTTCCAATCATCACAAGTATGCAGCTGGAAAGGTTTATCTTTCTCTATCTAAATATTCAGTATGTTCCACTCAGCAGAGACTAAATGGGTTCGGAGTCTGAGTGGTTTCAAGAGCAAAGACGTGATGTGTACAGTTCTCTGTTTATTAATTGTGTTTTAATTTTAAATTATGATTCAATTTCTGTGCACAACAACATCAAGGATTTAGTTTGTGGAGTTGTGAATTGTTTTGAATTTAAAGGAAAAGAAAAGTATACCTGTACTTAAAAACATTCTAAATTTGTTGCCACTCTACCTCTTCTATATTGAGCTGCTTTAAGCTATAGATGGAGGTGTTTCCAGTGTATTGTAGTGTTGACTTTAGTAAGCACACCGCAAACCTTATACATTTTTAATGCGAAATGTTACTACATTTATTTATGACATTTTAATACCCCATAACAGTTAGTCCAGCAGTAAAATTCTCTCTGTCCTTGAGCTGGGGAAAAAAAGATATATATGTGAGTCCAGCCAGTTAGCTTCAGGGGAGACTTGCTATAAAATATTGATGCTTTAGTTTTTACTGTCTGGCATCTAAGCATCTGTGCTGTAATGAGTTCACTAATTCACAGATAAAGTCTTTCCTCTGCTCACTGAGATACAATACTTTGCAAGTGAATGGTCCAAACGCTGATAAATTACCCCAGGGATGAGAAAGAACCAACATATTTGACTGATTAGGTCCAATAAGTCTGTAAAGCAAGACTAATAGTGGTTAATTGGGATGGGCCAGCTGCGACTACAGGAAGAAGCGTCTTTGGTTTTAAAGCTTTTTACAGGCTTTTTTATAGTCTGTGATTTAGCTGCTGTTTTGACAATTCACCTTCACATTGTGTGTCAAGGGCAAATGTGATGTACTTATGTCAGCGAACATCTTTCAGGATGGGTGAGCTGGGGCCAGAATAAACAATGCATGTTTTTGGCTAACTGCCCTGACAGGGGAAGGTGCATTTGTGACATTGCAGCGTGGTGGAAAGGTCAGTGCCAGAAAAAGACTTTGATGGAAGGCAGGAAGAAGTCATTTGGGAAGTTACGCATGTGACATTTGAGGTCCTGAACTTCGGAGGTGGGTTTGAAGGATGGGTCCATTGGCCTATGTGGCTAAAGGGTACTTCCGTTGGAAACATAATCAACGGCTTCAATCAAGACACTTTATCTTCACAAATGTCATAAAGTTGTAATCATATAGCTTCCATATTGATCATCTTTAGCATCAGATGAAGCACAAATATAGATTTAACTTTTAAGCTTCAGTATTTGAATTAATCATGGCTTTATTCACTCAGCTTTTGTGAATTAATTGTCTTGTGACATGTTTGCGTATCATTACTGGACAGAAAATGAGGCATGAATTGTTTTTTTATTGAAAACCTTTTATTATGGGATTAATTTTTTGAAAAACCTAATCCTTTACTTTCCTCTGAATGCTGTTTCCCTGCTTGTTTCCAAAGAAAGTTGTCCCTTTGGTAAAGAAATTATAGTATGAGATAATACTGAAACTATCAAATAGGTTGAGAAGTATGGTTTAAATGTTTTTATTTTCCATTAAAACATCTGGAATTTGAGCATTTCATGCATTAGTCCTTAACATTTGGCCTTTCTGCATTAGCTCCCCCTTCGGTCATTGTGTCTGTGTAATGATTAGAACAAACAAATCCAAGTTCATATCTTGAATTATAAATGCATGTCATGCATGTCATCTTTCGACTGAGAACAGACCCACTCACGTTTGACCTACACCACAGACATATTTATCTGTCATGCATGTGTTGTGTATTTATATTTTGTGTATTCATGGACTACGCTTCGAAGTTTGTGGCTGCGTGTGGGAATGCCTGTGTGCCCATGCAGCCGACAGTCCACAGCACGAGAGTCAGAATGGATTCAGCTGTGCTCCAGGCCTCTGCTTCTGTCACTCAGGCCCAACTGTAGAATCCTGTGTACGACGTCTCTCCTCAATCACAGCCCATACACCACATGCACCTGCTCTTCCTGATTATCTCATCAAATGTGCACCTGACACTGACTGTACTTACATTTAGACAGGGTCCAGTTATACGACTAGATCCTATGTGCAGAAAAACATGTGGGTTTTGTTCATTCATTTATGTTTTTTGTTTTTTTTTTGAAAAATCAAAAAAGCTGGGTTGACATGAGACATTAACATGTACATACATGTAGCGGGAGCTTTGAGCTAAGACCTGAATGAGGGTGGTCCTCCCTTTTTCACTTCTCTCCCTGAAATAGCTGATCTAAATCTGTGACAGAGCCTAACAATACATTTGTGTGAAGACTGTTGATGGAAAACTTTTTGAGTTAAAAGGGTTTTACTACATTCATTTTTTGTGGTTTGAAAGTTGGATACCCCAGCTTTAATTTGTTTGTCTGAAAAATTAACACTCCTGTTTTGCCATTGTTTTGCTTTTTTTTAGTTTTTTGTCATGAGAAGACTTGATAGCCCACCTTTAAATCATCACCAACTTTTATCCGACTTGGAATCTAAACTTGGCTCTGTCACCCCTCCATTACCCCCTGCCCGACCCTCATTTTAGCGGGAGATAATCTACTGTCAACAGTCTTATTGTCGGCCCCATCTGCGCTCAGCCAAAGGACGCTCCCGGTCAGCTCTGGAATGTGCAATAAGATGACAACTCAGCGTGTTCTGGGAGGCACTACACCATCCCGCTGATTCCAAAGTGGAAGCAGGATGCATGTTCTCATCAAGGCTTCATTAAAAAAGCTACGCACTCCGCTGTAATGAAACTCCAGCGGCTTACCAGAGCCGACTAGATTTGGATGGGCAGAAGGCGGACCCCTGTTGGCCCCTTGCTCACTCTGCATTTGTCAATCAGTGCACAAAGCTGATTTAGCACACCTGTTCATACACCACCTTGAGCTGCATGCGTCTTCATTATCTGCTATGGGATTGAGGAGACTTTAGTCGAGATACTTCTTGTGTTTTGTCTGTGAATTGGCTAATGTTTTGATTTAGTTTGGTTGGTAGGATTGGCATCTCATGTTTAATTGGAAATCTAATTGATCAAAAATATCAGAGCAACAGCGTCTCATTCTATATGTACTTTTAAATTTAACATAATGGCATCATACATATAAGGCACACTTTACGTCATGGAACCAAACGCTTTTTCCAAGTGTCTTGCCCAAACACAGCATTCATCTGTGTGGGAGCTGGCATTGCACCAGCCAATCTCCAAATCTGCTTGCTCTAATAATGATTTCATTTTATGTCAGGAGTGGGATTTGAATCTTACTTTCCACAGTATGGAACTACTCATATCTGTTGCATTGATTTCTCGACGAGTGTTTTTATACTGGCCTTGTTCAGTGTATAGCAACCAGGCCAGCCAAGTGCCTTTTGTGTGTGATGCCAAGGTTGATGTTGACAGTTTATCATATTAAGAGCAACACTGTAATGGAAAGTCTAGTCTGACGGGGCATATAAAATTATGAAAAGGTTGTGTTAATTGAAACTGTATTCACTGCCAGCTGGGGGCATAGGTCCCTTTATTGACTCTGCTAATGGTTACAAGATGGCAGTTATTTTTTAATACAGCTACAACTGCAGTGTGCAAGAGTGTGTGCAAGAGTCATGTCTAGTGTTGTGAAGAAATTCAAAATGATAATATCTGGGGCCAGAGCAGAGGTCAGCAGACAAGGTTGGGGTCACTGTGTGTTTATCTGTTGGTGGAAGACACACATCTGGTATTCCT